GTCGCCCCAGGTGCTTGCTCTCTGGTCAAAGCGTTGCAAAGATCTGGGATCCCAACGCTTTTTTTTCGTGTGGTTCAAGCGGTTTATTCCCATTGCGGGTGGACAGAGAGATGTCAACGACTGGGTGCCAAGAACACGGCATTTCCCAAGGCTGTCCGCTTTCGCCTTTTCTGTTCTCCATTTTGATGACAGTGTTGTTGTATGATGCAGACATGGATTCGCGGAGTCGTGGACGGCTCAATTTGCCCGCAGCCTTGGTGAATGATCTGGTTTACGCAGATGATACGCTCGTTTTGGCCGCCGAACAGGAAAGAGCTGAGTTGCGCATGAACTGCATCGCCCGTGCCGGGTCCAACTATGCACTGACTTTCAATTGGAAAAAGGTGGAGTTACCTGGCGTACAGGGAAGCCGCCGACGCGGACGCCCAAGGAAACGTTGGGCTGTTGAAGTGTACAGGTTTGTTAAAAGCATGGCCGATTATGACCGGTGTTCGCTTGACAGTTTGTGGCAGCTGCCTCCTTCTCAATGGAGGTGGCGGGCTGCGAATTTCTGCTATGGTGCCTGACTGCTGGCACTTGTTCATGCCCATGTGTCACTGTACACGAGGCCTTCTCTCTCTTTCTGTCTCTCTCTTGCGCCGCTCGGCCACTCGAAGCACCGCTCCGTCCGACTCAACGCTGCCTGGTTGCGGCTGAAAAAAACGAGTCGGAGGCGACACGAGGGTGACGGATGACCTGGCCCCCGGGCCCCACGGCCTCGCGCGCAACACGGATCGCCGTGCGTGGGCAGGCCAGCGCGTGGTCCCCCAACATGTCAACCTGCTGTCCGCAGCCTGGTGAATGGCCACAACGCCCAGAAGCGATTGGGAGGGGCAGATGCAATCGGCGGCGGAGCGCCCTCTGCATAGCTGCTGGCGGCAACGTGGTGGCCGCCTCGGCCGGGATGGCAGCGAGCCATGAGCCCGCATGAGGCCCGGACTGGGAACGCAACAGGGCGCGGTGATTGGGCGGCAGGGTCGGCAGTAGCACGCGGTCGCGATAGTAGTAAAGTTGGCCTGCCGCCACCACCACCACCACCACCTGCTCCGCGCAAGCGCCCGCACAGGGCAGAGCCCACGTTTGAGCAGGACAAGGACCGTGTGCCCAAGCGCAGGCGCTGAGAGGCTGCCACTCGGGCTTTGAAGTCCAGGACCGTCGGGCCGCCCCGCGCTCTCCATCTGACCCTGCTGGGTCAGCGCACTGCTCACCTTTCGAGCAGGGAGCAGGTGCCGCGTCCTCGCCCTTCCTTTCTGTAGCGAGTGCACCTAACTCTTTTGCTAGCCCTCCGGTAGGTGCGTTTTCCTTCCGCCAGTTCTGCAACCCTGGTATCGTTGGGCACTCGGCAAGTGACCTCGTGTGCAGATCGGGCCGCGTTCAACAGGTCTCCCGCCCGCCCTTCAGCTGGTTCCCCAGACTCTTTCACCGTGGTGGCGCCCCACCGCGGGCCTGCCGCCAAGGTCAAGGGCAAGCTGAGCTGGAGGTCACTGGGACGGCGCGCGCTATCCTTTTCTCATATTTGTTCCTTTTTGCACCGCGGAAAGTTTAGCACGTCCAAGCATGCCGTCTGAGGCAGCCGCTTGCGGCTTCCCAGCCTCAGCATCTCAGGCACCATTTCGTTCTTGCATCGGCACTGGGCTAACGTCCAGGTGCGCCCTCTGAGGCAGCCGCCTGCGACTGCCCAGCCCGAGCATTGGCATTTCGGGCAAATTTCGTTTTTGCACATCACCAAAATTTGGCATTTCGTGTTAAGGTCCAGGCGCGCCCTTCGAGGCAGTCGCTTGGCACTTTTGCAATCCGAGCCTTGGCATTTCCGGCAGCTTTCGTTTTGCACCGCAAAAAATCTGTCACTCGCAGTTCAGGTCCAGGCGCGCCCTTTGAGGCAGTCGCTTCTGGCTTCCCGGTCCTTGTCTAAAAATCCCAGTGCGTTCAGTGGGCCGCCGCGTGCGGCCATTACCTTGCAGCTCACTTGGCTTGCGTTTTCGTTTCAGGTGCATCAATCAGTGTCCGGTGGATACGTTCGCCTGCATCGGCGGTCCTGTCAGGGCCCAGCCATTTCTTCATCACCGGCCCGGGACTCAGCGTTAACCATCGCATCCCGCAAGCAGCAGGCGCGCCTGGAGCGGCCGTCGCCATGCTGTGCCTTTGGGGGGGGGATTTCGGTTCACCTAGGTTATGGGTTGCGTGATCGGGCCACCTGACGTGTGGGCCGCAGCAACGTGCTACTGAGGCTGGGCCGCAGGTGCCTCCTTGGCAGCCGCGGCTCAGCTGGGTGGATTTCCCCACTGCGCCCACACCTTGTTGGCCGGTTCCTTGGGTCCTGTAGCCACTCTAGGCTCCAACAGTAGCCACGCTAGCTTCCCAGAATACGGCCCACGCAGGCTAGGCCGCAGGCGTCTTTTGGCACCCGCGGTTCTGCTGGGTGGCCTTGGGATCGTGGGACCCTCAGTCCAGCAACAAACCACTTAGTTCGGAAGGTTGAGCGACCTAGCTGGCTGACCCAGAAGGAAAACAGGCACTATGTCCAGGCGTTCGCGCGCGGACTCGCCGCACCACCAAACATACAGCAATCGAGGCGGCCCTGAACAGCACACGGGTTTCCTTGTGGCGGTTAGTTCTGCACCAAGGTCCCCGCGCGGGGACGCAATGCCTTTGGCGCCTGCACGCCTGGCGATGACTGTTTTGTGTGTTTGGATGCCTTGGACCCCGCAGGGGAAGCTGAGCGAACCATGGTGACCTTCCCGACCTGCACTGCGCACAGTTTGCATCTGGGTTGCCTTGCCCAGCTCCGGTCACAAGCATCTGGCCCATCGGACCTGCTCTGCCCACTGTGCCGCCATAGCAGGTGCCGCCAGTGTAGCGCTGATGGTTGGACTGACCGGCAGAACGCAGCACTGCGCGAGGCATGCAGCCGCTATGGCATCGGCATCCCAACACGTATTTCCGGGCAGTCGACTGTGCAAGTAGCGGTGCAAGATTAGACGCCGTAGCCATTTTGGCTCAAGCCATTTTGGCTCAAGCTTAAGACTCAAGCGGGGGAGGGGGCGTAGACTGCTTTGCCCGTAGCTGTATTTAAGGCTTTGCCCGTAGCTGTAGTTGACGCTGTTTGTTGTATGGGACGAGTGACTGCGCTTGGGCGGTGTCGAGCTGGAAGGCGTGGAAGTCGACGGGCAACTTGATGCACCTTGTGCTGACGCCCGCTGACTTTGCGGCTGTTGGGGGTGAAGTCGTGACCCTGCCGGAGGAAGCGCGACCCGCCCCGACACGTGTCGCTGTCGTCCTCCAGCAGTACTCCGTCTCGCAGCCGCAGCACGGCCCAAGCACGACGTGGGAGCAGCAACAGTGCGCAGCTGCTCGCGCAGTCGCAGCCGCCGGCGCGTGCCGCCACCACCACCACCTGCTCCGCGCAGGCGCCCACACAGGGCAGAGCCCACGTTTGAGCAGGACAAGGTCCGTGTGCCCAAGCGCAGGCGCTGAGAGGCTGCCGCGCGGGCTTTGACGTCCAGGACAGACCCTGCTGGGTCAGCGTGCTGCTCACCTTTCGAGCAAGGAGCAGGTGCCCTTCCGTTCTGCAGCGAGTGCACCCCACCCTTTTGCTAGTCCAGCGGTATGTCCGTCTCCCTTCCGCCAGTTCTGCAACCCTGGTATTGTCGGGGACTCGGCAGCCGACCTGGTGTGCAGATCGGGCCACGCCCAACAGCCGCAGGTCTCCCGCTAGCCCTTCTTCCTCCAGCTGGCCCCGGACTCTTCCACCGTGGTGGCGCCCCACCGCGGGCCTGCCGCCAAGGTCAAGGGCAAGCTGAGCTGAAGGTCACTGGGACGGCGCGCGCTATCCTTTTCTCGTATTTGTTCTTTTTTGCACCGTGGAAAGTGTAGCATGTCGAAGCGCGCCATCGTCTGAGGCAGCCGCTTGCGGCTTCCCAGCCCGAGCCTCAGCATCTCAGGCACCATGGTGTTCTTGCATCGGCACGGGGCTAACGTCCAGGCGCGCCCTCTGAGGCAGCCGCCTGCGACTGCCCAGCCCGAGCATTGGCATTTCGGGCAAATTTCGATTTTGCACATCACAAAATTTGGCATTTCGTGTTAAGGTCCAGGCGCGCCCTTCGAGGCAGTCGCTTGGCACTTTTGCAGTCCGAGCCTTGGCATTTCCTGGCGCCTTCGCTTTGCACCGCAAAAAATCTGTCACTCGCAGTTCAGGTCCAGGCGCGCCCTTTGAGGCAGTCGCTTCTGGCTTCCCGGTCCTTGTCTAAAAATCCCAGTGCGTTCAGTGGCACGCCGCGTGCGGCCATTACCTTGCAGCTCACTTGGCTTGCGTTTTCGTTTCAGGTGCATCAATCAGTGTCAGGCGGATACGTTCGCCTGCATCGGCGGTCCTGTCAGGGCCCAGCCATTTCTTCATCACCGGCCCGGGACTCAGCGTTAACCATCGCATCCCGCAAGCAGCAGGCGCGCCTGGAGCGGCCGTCGCCATGCTGTGCCTTTGGGGGGAGCATTTCGGTTCACCTAGGTTAAGGGTTGCGTGATCGGGCCACCTTTGTTTTTGCCAGACGTGTGGGCCTCAGCACGCTCCACATAGCCAACCGCAACTTCAGCAGTCTCGCGCAAGTGCACGTGCTACTGAGGCTAGGCCGCAGGCGCCTCCTTGGCAGCCGCGGCTCAGCTGGGTGGATTTCCCCACTGCGCCCACACCTTGTTGGCCGGTTCCTTGGGTCCTGTAGCCACTCTAGGTTCCAACAGTAGCCACGCTAGCTTCCCAGAATACGGCCCACGCAGGCTAGGCCGCAGGCGCCTCTTGGCAGCCGCGGCTCTGCTGGGTGGCCTTGGGATCGTGGGACCCTCAGTCCAGCAACAAACCACTTAGTTCGGAAGGTCGACACGCTTGCCAGGTCTCCTTCGCCTTCGGTGAGTGGCAGCGACCTAGCTGGCTGACAGCAAAAGCGCCATCCAGAAGCAAAACAGGCACTATGTCCAGGCGTTCGCGTGCGGACTCGCCGCACCACCAAACATACAGCAATCGAGGCGGCCCTGAACAGCACACGGGTTCCCTTGTGGCGGTTAGTTCTGCACCAAGTTCCCCCCGCGGGGACGCAACGCCTTTGGCGCCTGGACGCCTTGGCGATGACTGTTTTGTGCGTTTGGATGCCTTGGACCCCGCAGGGGAAGTTGAGCGAACCATGGTGACCTCCCCGACATGCACTGCGCACAGTTTGCATCTGGGTTGCTTTGCCCAGCTCCGGTCACAAGCATCTGGCCCATCGGACCTGCTCTGTCCACTGTGCCGCCATAGCAGGTGCCGCCAGTGTAGCGCTGATGGTTGGACTGACCGGCAAAACGCAGCACTGCGCGAGGCATGCAACCGCCATGGCATCGGCATCCCAACACCTGTGGCAATCCGGCATGGCGCAGGCATAGCAGCTTGGAGGCCCAGTTGGATGTGCGTAGCATGCGCGCAGTCCGAGGACCTCCCGGACCTCGACGTGCCTCCTGAAACGGGTGGGGAGTGTGAGCGCTGTGGCGGGCGTACCGAGTGGGTACTTGATCGCAGCAATGGCCACAGTTGGCTGCAATGTCCCGGTCATTGCGCGCGGGTTGAGCCGCCAACCTCGGCAGCGAACGGCGCCCCGGCTGTGACACGCGAGTTTGCGCCGTCCGAGGCTGCACCTGTGTCTGCAGCAAGAGGATCTGAAATACTTGCTGCGGCGGTATCACACCAAGCCGCAGGTGCGGCTGGCGAGGCCGCAGAGGGTGCTCCGTGGCTCGCGCGAGGCCCGCCACCAGGGCCGGTACGGGCTGCCACCAACTCCTGGCTGTACGTGCCACTGCTCCATGCCGCAGCTGGGGACCTGGCACCGGCGGCTGTTGCTTCGTGGCAGGCGGAGCAGCGATGTAGTGGATGGTGGGAGGAGGCGCGGCGTTTGCTCCTGGTTGCCGCGCCCATTGCCAGGAACAAGCTCGCCACGGCCCTCCGCCAAAGCGCTGGGGCTTCGCCCATAGACCTTCGCCAGCTGCCGGGAACTGCTACGCCGGCTGGAACAGGCGCAGCTGCCTGAAGTGGCGTCTGTGCATGTTGGTTGGGCTGTCCGTCAGCTGCGCGAGCGTGACGGATACATCCACGCGCTTGCCCAATCGGCCCTGCTCGAGTGCTGTGCGGGCCTGCGTGTGGCAGCCAGCTTGGATCGTCGCTCCGACGATTTTCGCCAGGCGCCTGCATCGGCCCTCCCCCAGCACGCATGCCCGCCAACACGACGTCTCACAGTCACGTCTGATGACAGGGATGTCGAGCCGCCCAGCCTTCCGGCTCAACCACCAGCAGGCGCCGACGGGAGCCGTGATGAGGCCGTTGCTGCCAAAGTCAATGAGGCGGGGGCGCAGCCGAACCGCGAACTCCCGGGCCGCAGCCCCACAACCGCAGCTGCAGATGCTGCAGAGGGAGTTGCGCCGCGTGCCGACGCAATCGACAATGGGGAACAGGAAGAATCCCCTGTGCCACACACACAGGCACCCGGAAATTCGTTCCCGCCGGCTGCTTGGGCTTGGCTGGATGATATCAACCTTCATCACAAGTTCCAAGTGCGGCTCCCAATGCTGCAGTCTGTCCCCAGCTTCCTGACGCCTGGCGTGAGGCGCGCGTTCCTTGCCGCCCCCACTGCCATCGCTGATGCTGCTTGCGCGCGTGGAAGTTGTTCCTGCTGCTGCCGCGGCTCCTTCTCACGCGAAGCGACGCCATTGGCGTGCAAGGGCGCGCAGAGCTGTTGCACCGGTTCGAGCTTTTTTGGAGAGGAAGCTGGGTTGAGCTACACAGGCTGAGCCGTCGAGTCGCTGACCGGCAAGGGCGTCCACAACTCGAACGGCTCGGCGACACCAGCGAGGCCCGTGCGGCCCGCGCGTGCACGCTCGTGAGGCGGGGTGAACTTTCCCGGGTACGCCAAGTGTTGACGGCCGCCGCCTTCGCGCCAGGCGACGCAACCACATTGCAGGCGCTCACAGACCCAGATCGCCGACCAACGGCCAGATTGCGTGACGTTCCCAATGAGGTGCTTTCGTATAGCCCAGACGAAGCTGTTGCCGTGACGGTTGGCCAGGTCGCAGAAGCCTTGCGCAGTTCCAAGCGAGGGAGTGCCGCAGGCCTTTCCGGCGCCACGTTTGAAATCTACAAACTCCTCCTGGATGAACAGGTCGCCATTGACCTCCTTGAACCGGCGCCGTCAACCGCCTCGCGCGGGCGGACGTTCCGCACGAGGTAGCCGAGGCTCTCGCGATGTCCCGTCTCACGGCGCTCCGTAAACCACACGGCGGAGTCAGGGGCATGGCGACAGGAGATGTCTTCCGGCGCTTGGTGTCTCGGGTGCTGGCGCGGGTCTACGCTGACGTCTTCGATGCCGCCACATGCCCTTACCATTTCGCGCTGTAGACGCGGGCCGGTACCGACTGCCTGGCAGGCATGCTGAGGGCAGCGGATGAACTAGACCCCACCGCCACAGTTGTGTCTCTTGATGGACGCAGCGCGTATGATTGCATCAGTCGCGCAGCCGTGCTCAGCAAGCTTCAGCAAGTGGCGCCGTCCGTGCTGCCTGTTGCTCGAATGCTGTTTGCGCTGCGCGCGAGAGCACACTGCTGTGGTGGGACGACGCAGGGCGCGTGCATCACGTCCGACAGGCTGAAGGGGTCGAACAAGGCGACCCTTTGGCCGCGGCATTTTTCGCCCTTGGCCAGCACGATTCACTTGCCGCACCCCACGCCTGCCTCCAGCCTGCAGAGGTTTTGGCAGCATTCCTTGACGACTTGTACGTAGTAACCTGCCCTGCACGAGCCCGAGAGGCCTGCGACAAAGTGTCAAGGGAAGTTGAGCAAGGTGCCGGCGTTTCCGCCAACCTCGGCAAAACCCGGGTCTTTCACGCGGCCGGAGGAGCAGCGCCACCGGGAATCCTCGATCTCGGGGCGGAGGTGTGGCGCGGCGACAAGCCACCTGCCGAGCGCGGGTTTGTCGCGCTTGGCGTCCCGATCGGACACGAGGACTTCGTCCGGGCGCAGGCGGAGGAACGCCCTCAGGCAGAAACCGAGCTCCTGCGAGGGTCCGACCTCCAATGTGCCTGGTTGTTACTGTTGTTTTGTGCAGCGCCTCGCGCCCAGCACCTCCTACGCAACGTTTCCCCAGCGCTCATCGCAGGCTATGCGCGAGCCCACGATGACGCGGTCTGGCAGACGCCAAGGCCATGTCCAGGATGCCGATTGGGAGCATGCGCGCGCGGTCGCTACGTTGCCAGCCTCTCTAGGGGGTCTAGGTCTGATTGCCGCGGAGCGCATTGCGCCCGCAGCCTACTGGGCGTCTTGGGCTGATGCGCTCCCTGCCTACAGCAATTTGAGGCCAGAGCAGAGGGGGCGGCGCCTTGCTTGCGGGCGGCCGCGGCCGCAGGGCAACGACTCGACCGCGAAGGCTGGGAAGAGCGGCCTACGTGGAGAGGCCTCGTGGGCGGACAAAGCCCGCCATCCGATGGCAACGAACCCGGTCTGGGTGTGTCAGGCTGGCAGCGACATGCTGCTCTCGCACTTCACAGTACGTTTCGGGAGCAGGTGGTTCTGCCGACTGCCAACCCCAGCGCCCGGGCATGCCCGGGCAATGTTGCGATCCCAGTCAGCCCGCATGCCGGCGCGTGGCTTTCCGCCATACCCGCGGATGTCGCGGCCACCCTTGCGCCTGACCTTATGCATCTCGCTCTGCGGCGCCGTTTGCGCCTCCCGCTCCAGGGATGGCCAGCATGGCTGCCGCGGAGTTGTCGATGCGCTGGGCGACCACCCCCGCGTCCTGCCCTCGTACAGGCCTGCTGGCGCGGCGAGGCTTTGTGTTTGAGCGGGCATGGGTCCA